CACCTCCACCAATCATCTACTACCGTGGGTATATCCCTCGATAGACTGCCGACTATATTTCGTCGACATGGGCACAGACGGATCCTTGTATCGTTTCCGCTAGATGTCTATTTTCATTCCGCTGTTTAATTATCGCACTCTGAACTCTGGTATTGTAATAAATAATTTTCAAGAACTCTTGTTGTATGAAATGGACTAAGTATTGTAAGCTCATACTCATTATTGGATTATGGATGTAAAACGTGGATTTTTTTGAGTTCTCCCTTAGGGTGTGCTCGATGGAACTATCCGATGTAGCTCACTTTCGAGATACTTAGTGTCTAGTGGAAGACGAGCGTCTCCAAAAACGTGTTACTTCGGGCGGTTCTACCACACCACCCCATCCAAATAGCCCCTAACTGGGCATGGCAAGGGCCTCTTTAACTCAGTGTCGGTGGTAATCAAGGTTGACTAACAGGTCCTGTTAGTGAATCCTGTGGACCATTGGGGGAGGGGGAGTTGACATGTGGGATTCATGACCTCCTTGAGGGTCGGTGACCCTTGGATGCACTGCCTTGGTGCACCCACGACTGAGGATCATTCCTAGAGTTGGTTGGAAGGTGTCCAAAGTGGTTTTGTGCACTTGATGGCATCGCCCTACCTAGGTACGGTTGTCTGACCTGGCCCAGGCACTTTTGTCGTCCACCTTGAGTCGTTGCAGCGATCAACGGTTCTCCTTGGCTTGGGTATAAGTTTTGGTTGCGGTGGAATTCGTTTTCTTCAGTTAGTGGGCCCATGGATCCATGCGAGAGACCACATGGCTTCATCTTGTCCCTTGATGTGACAGTCATTCAACTAACACGTGGGATCACTCCTGAGTGTGTTTCTTTAGCGTGTGGAGGATTGGTGACGTGGATGGGCTTCTGGTTGGGTCGCCCAACCTTGGGCTAGGTTGCCCGAAGTCCGATTCTAGCTTCTGGGGTTGACACCACTTCCATTGAGTTTCTTGTTGAGTAGAGAGGCTCTAGACAAAGTTTGAGAGCTAATGGGACCCATGGTTGGGTCACCTGACCTCACTCTCTGTCCATTTCGAGCCTGGCTCGTGTTGCGATCTTGAAATAGGGGTAAAATCATAAATATCTTTAACGAAATAGTGATAAAAATCACAAAAACTTTTCTTTTCCTCCAAAATATCACCATCAACACGACTTCATGGAATAGGAGCAAACTTTTACTTCAGTTTTAAAATACAAGGGTAAAATCACAAAAAAATTAAAAACAAAGATAAAATCATCATTTTCATTCAAAACAAGAGCACGAACGCCAAAAGGTCCGGTTGTGAAGGAAGATGACCTAGAATCGTCCTCAGCGTCGCGCCTCCTCTCATCCTTCGCCAATCGCTAGCACCCAACGCCGCTAGACCGCACGCTCCGCCCTTCGTCGCATGTAGCTCAAAACTAAGGGGGTGTTTGAAAGGTCCTAATATGGCTAGAGGGGGGGGTGAATAGCCTATTTAAAAATCTACAAATCAACTAGAGCAATTTGATTAGTATGACAAATAGCGTAATGCAAACTTGCTCTAGCTCTACAAGGGTTGCAAGCCACCTATCCAATAATTCTAGTTGCAATGAATACTTAGGCACACAAACTAGCTATGTAATTACTCACTAAGAGCTCTCAACCTTGCTACTCTAAAGAGCTCAACTAGATGAATGTAAATAATAAAGCAAGCTCTCAATTCTAATTACACTAAAGAGCTTGTATCAACTAGTTTGCAAGAATGTAAATGAGTGAGTAGAGTGATTATACCGACGTGTAGGGGATGAACCAATCACAAGATGAATATATAGCCAATCACTGGAAGAATGACAAAGAAGAGAGACAATCGATTTTCTCCCGAGGTTCACGTGCTTGCCAACACGCTACGTCCCCGTTGTGTCGACCAACACTTGGTGGTTCGGCGGCTAAGAGGTGTTTCACAAACCTCGTCCACACGATTGGACACCGCAAGAACCGACCCACAAGTGAGGTAACTCAATGACACGAGCAATTTACTAGAGTTACCTTTCGGCGCGCTCCGTCGGGGAAGGTACAACTCCCCTCACAATCCTTTGAAAGGCGGCCACGAACAATCACCAACTCGTGCCGATCCTTCACGCTGCTCTCAACTGTCTAGGTGGTGGCAACCACCAAGAGAAACAAGCGAAATCATGAAATAAGAACACGAATACCAAGTGCCACTAGATGCAATCACTCAAGCAATGCACTTGGATTCTCTCCCAATCTCACAATGATGATGGATCAATGATGGAGATGAGTGGGAGGGCTTTGGCTAAGCTCACAAGGTTGCTATGTCAATGAAAATGTGCAAGAGAGAACCCTTGAGCTGGCCATGGGGCTATAAATAGAGCCCCCATCAAATAGAGCCGTTGTACCCCTTCACTGGGCAAAACACGCTATGACCGGACGCTCCGGTCATACCGACCGGACTGCCCTCGTCGTCCGGTCGATCGATGGACGCCACGTCACCGACTTCAAACGCTGTTCGTCAGATTTCAACGGCTACGAAGCTGACCGGACGCTCCGATCAAAACTGACCGGACGCTGAAGCCCCAGCGTCCGGTCGTTTCCAGTAAGCTCCCCGAGGCGTATTTATTCGACCGGACGCGTCCGGTCCACCTTGACCGAACACAGACCAGCGTCCGGTGCTAAACCTTAGCCACTGTGCCGTCTGACAGCACGACCGGACGTAGCCTTTCAACGTCCGGTCGCTGAGTGACCCAGCGTCCGGTCAGTAGACCGACGCTAGCATCATTTCGACCAACTCTATTTCAACTCTAACTTCTTCACCCTTGCTCAAATGTGCCAACCACCAAGAATTTTGCATCCGGCGCAATAGAAAATAGACATTTCATTTTTCCAAAAGCGCCGAATCCCGCCGAGCAAGCTCGGCAGGAGGGAGAGAGGGACCCAAACCCATCTCAACCCTGCAAACACCTTGTGCACATGTCTTAGCATATTTTTACAAATATTTTCAAGGGTGTTAGCACTCCACTAGATCCTAAATGCATATGCAATGAGTTAGAGCATCTAGTGGCACTTTGATAACCGCATTTCGATACGAGTTACACTCCTCTTAATAGTACGGCTATCTATCCTAAATGTGATCACACCCACTAAGTGTCTTGATCACTAAAACAAAATGGCTCCTACATTTTATACCTTTGCCTTGAGCCTTTTGTTTTTCTTTCTTCTTTTCCAAGTTCAAGCATTTGATCATCACCATACTATCACCATTGTCATGATCTTCGTCATTGCTTCATCACTTGTAGTAGTGCTACCTATCTCATAATCATCTTGATAAATTAGGTTAGCACTTAGGGTTTCATCAATTAACCAAAACCAAACTAGAGCTTTCAGTGTTTGGTTCCCACCTTCTCAAATTTAGTCGTTGTCACATCGGATATTGGACGCTAATTTAGAGTATTAAATATAGACTAATTACAAAACTAATTGCACAGATTGAGACTAATTCACGAGATGAATCTATTAAGCCTAATTATCCCATTGTTTGATAATGTTGTGCTACAGTAAACATGTGCTAATGATGGATTAATTAGGCTTACAGCATGTTCGGTTGGCTGGTTCGTTTCGTTGCTGGTTCGTGAAGAAGTACTGCTGCCTGGTTTGTGTGAGAGAAAAATACTGTTCCGGCTAAAAATTTACGATCGTTTACGACAAGCCACAGCCAAACGAACAGGCTGTTAGTAGATTCGTCTCGAGAATTAGTCTACTCCTATGTAACTAGTTTTATAATCAGTTCATGTTTAGTCCTCCTAATTAACATCTGACCGTCTGACGATGTGACTCGGATTAGCTTTAGCTCCTGGATCTAAACATATCTTTAGCATGTGAACATTCGAAATGACATCCGACACTGACAGCAAACACCCTAAGCACCTCCTGCACCGCGCCTAGCACACCTCTACGGCTACTGAACTTGCCTCCGCCGTTGCTGACTCTAAGCTCCACTCGCCTGAGATCCCCTTGTCCGAGGCGCTCGACTGAGCTTCCGCCGCCCGAGGTCTCCTCATCTCCTCCCCGACATGTCAGTGGCGGGCCCAGCAGGTTGTCTAGATAGGCCCAAAACTATCCTGGAATTTAGCCCAAAAATCTACGGCTACTTATCATTTCAAGCCCAGGTGAGTGAAAGCCCAACAAATTTGTTCCTGGTGCCCTATTCCGATACCCTGTCGCAGCGTCGCTCGACCCCGACTCCCCGAGTCCCTCGGCGCCGCTTTCCTTCTCCCGTACGTGGACCGTGGTGAGCACCACCAGAGGGGCGGCGGGACGGCTGGCGGCAGCTCCCTTCCCTGCGGCCTGCGCAGCTGAGCCTCTGCCCACCGGACGGCAGAAGCCGCTGGTAGCCATCGGCCCGTGGCAGCTCGTGCGGCGGCGACCTGGCCTGGACCTGTGCCACTGCTGCTTGTTGAAGCTGCACAGCTCGCCGGCTGCGTGAGGGCGGCTGGGGCGCTGGGCGGATGCTGATCTGCGCCTGCGTGCTTTGCCGGACTCCAGCACAGCGGCCAACACCAACGCATCCAGTCCCCCACATCTGAGCAACTCTGGTGAGTGGTGAGTATGTGTGTCTGTGTACGTAGTAGATACATGTGCTCCAACTAAAATCGGTGATTGTAATTTGTGAATTTGGTGTTGAATGGAATGGGGTATATGCCTGACGTAGAGTATGTATAATGTGTTGGCAGGATCTTTGCAAATGCTAAATATGAGCCTCATGGAAGATCTCTTATATTACGTTTGAACAATTTATATTGTCATTTATGCAATTTCGAACTTAATTGTTGAATTTAAGGTATTCTGAGACCTTTAGATATATTATATTTTTTTACCGAGCCGTTTACTGATTTATTTATTTATTTTGTATCGGAGCATACCATATTAGATAATAAATTTTTGATTAGGCATACCTTGGATTCAAATCCTGGGTCCGCCACTGCGACATGTCCAAGAAGCTCGGCAAGCTACCGCCGCCGCTGGCGGTGCATGAGGAGGCGGGAGAGGAGCTGTTTGCTTCATGCTCTTTCGCGGACCTCGGCCTCCACTCTACCCTCTGCGCCCACCTTCAAGGTCGCTCTCTATCTTCCTTCACTCTCCTTTTTTTTTTCCTCGTAGTTGTGATTTGGGTGTTCGATTCTGAATCACAAGCTTTGCTCGCATCAAATTGAATTTCTTTTCGTTACAGGTTTAGCTTTAGTATATAATATTTTGCTCCGTGAATTGATCGAGTTTGGTGAACAAATGTCATGTTCCTAGGTTTTTGTACTAATTGAAGTAGCAAATGTGGTTCGTGGTGGTGGTTTGAACTTGCGGAGAAGTCACGTCTGATGAAATTGATGCTTAGATAGAGGGTTTCTTAGTGCTTTCGAAAGAATTCTGCAGGAAAATGGACTGCTTCCTGGTTATCAAATATAGCAAATGTTGAACAGAAGTCTGCAAAAACGATGCACATTTTCCTGCTTGCTAAATAGTATTTCTTTCATTCTTTAATTTAGATAAGATGAGTTTCCAAGCACCCACGCGAATTCAAGCTCAGGCAATTCCAGTCGCCATTTCGGGACAGCACATGTATGCTCTTTTGATACTCTGATTTATGGCAAATCCTTAACTGAAGTGCTTTTTTTTTTTAAATGAATAATGTTTTACATTGCCAATTTCAGGCTAGTGAAGGCTGCAACTGGCACTGGGAAAACTCTCGCGTACCTTGCACCCATTGTGCACCTTCTCCAGATGAGGGAGCCTCGTGTGGATAGAACTCATGGAACTTTTGGTAATTACTTGTGCCTTTTTTATGTTCCCCGTGCTGCTTTTGATGGGTAAATCCAATTTTCCCTCTAGAATATGTAATTTTCTTAGCTCAATGTCGTTAGTCATAAAAAATTTAAATGTGCAGTGAAGCTGGGTCTCTTTATTTCCTTTCTGTATAGCCTTACACCCTTACACCAATCGTGGTTTGTCTATCATGATCTTCTGCAGGGATTATTCTTATATTTTTCTTCTTATTTTGGAGAGATTAAAATTGTTAATGCACCATGGATTTTGTTTTGATTAAAGTGACAATCTTGCACTGTTGCCTGTGTTATTATGGTTTGTGACTGTTTGCAATCATCCAGTGGAATTCAGTTCTGTTATCTTTTTTTGTAACAAAATGATGCTGATAAGTGTAGTGTATGTCAAAACAAATTCATCTGACACACACAATCACTTACTAAGTGATTATGAGTCACCTAGCAAATCATCCTGTTGTGTGATGATGAAAAAAAAAAATTACACGAGCAATTCTTCCCTTGATCCTCCCTTAATACTGGTTGATGTCACTAACTGTTTGATGATAGCGTTGGTACTTGTGCCATCGCGAGAGCTATGCTTACAGGTTTACGGGATTGCACAGCAGCTGGTTCATCGTTTTCACTGGATTGTCCCTGGGTATGTCATGGGCGGGGAGAACAGAGCAAAAGAGAAAGCAAGACTGCGGAAAGGTATATCTTGTCCCATAGTGTCATTTATGGAAGAGTTAAATGCATCAATGGCGCCTGAACTTGTCAAAGGGTGCCACTTAAGTCCACAAACTTTGTAAACACATTTTTGGGTCCCTAAACTTGTTATGTGATGCACCGCACATCCCTAAACTTATAAAATGGTGCACTGCAGGTCCATTTCTGGACCATACTAACCACTGTGGTGCACCACTTAACAAGTTTAGGGATCTAGAAATGCGTTTTCAAAGTTCGTGGGCCAAAGTGGCACCCCTTGACAACTTTAGGGGCCGCTCATGCATTTAACTCATTTATGGTGTCAAATGTGCCTCTATGTGATATCAAGCTTTGACCCTGGACATTTGTTTCTAGGAATATCAATTCTCATTGCTACCCCTGGGCGCCTTCTTGACCATTTACAGCATACTGCTTCATTTGTCTATTCAAATCTGCAGTGGATAGTTTTTGATGAAGCTGACAGGTCTGATACCAACAGTCACGTCATTTGGATTCCAAAGAAGGTTTCTTATTCGGTGGGCACAATTTTTACCACTCTTGTGTTGTATTAATGCAGCATTCTTGAACTTGGTTTTGGAAAAGCAGTTGAGGATATTCTAGAGCACTTGGGTTCAAGGAATGGTGCCCCTGGTCAAATTAAAAACAAAGGGGAGCATATCCGAAGGCAAAACCTTCTCTTATCCGCAACTCTTAATGAGAAGGTGAATCGGTTGGCAAAAATTAGTTTGAAAAACCCAGTGATGATCGGCCTTGATGATCAAAACAAGCCTTCAGGGAAATCCAACAATGTAGGGAACAATCATACTTCTCTATTATCTGATGATGAGGAGGATGAAATACTGGGAAAGCAGAATGATTTAGTGGAACATGCGGTTGATGATTTCAAGCTTCCTGCACAATTGGTTCAAAGATATGTTAAAGGTAGCAACAAGTTGCTTGCTTTAAACTTTTTAGAGGTCATGCTTGTCATTTGTTGCTTAGGTGGTATGACAAATCCTTGCTTTTATTATTTAGTTTCATGTGGTTCGAGGCTTGCGGTTCTTCTTACGATTCTCAAATCTCTATTTGAAAGACAAGTCTCTCAGAAGGTGAGTTTCGTATTTTGTCCTGATTAAATTTCACTGAACTATAATTTTTTCTTCAAGTTGCCACAGATAGGTCCTAGTAGCCGTGAGACATCAGTCTATTATGAGTTAGCTTACATCCTCCCCCCCCTTTTTGCAGGTTGTTGTTTTCTTCTCAACCTGTGACTCTGTAGATTTCCACCATACAGTACTCAGCCAGCTCGAGTGGAGCTCTGACCCACAACTTGATATTGATAAGAAGCAAAATTTTCTTAGCTGTAAAGTGTTCCGTTTGCATGGTAACATGGAGCAGGATGATCGCAAGAAGTCATTTTTGGGTTTTGGTTCTGAGAAATCAGCAATTCTTGTATCTACCGATATTGCTGCTAGGGGCTTGGACTTTCCAAAAGTCAAGTACATCATACAATATGATTCTCCAGGAGAAGCTTCTGAATACGTTCACAGGTACCTGATGCATCACACATCTACTTGTCTGATGCACTTGTAGTTGTAGTTTCTTAGTTTATTATCCCCTTTGTAATTTTTTGTGTATGATGAAATTTCAAAAAACTACAGGTGGTTTGTCAAAGTTAACGCAGAACTATAGATTTTAAAAGTTGAACAAAGAAACTACAGAATTAACAAGTTATATCACAAAATTGTAGATTTAATGTGCAATGTATCACATAACATGTGCTTGCATTTGTTTGCATATTACATAGTTCCATGTTGCGTTTTCAGTGTTCACTGCATTGCTGTTATAGAATCTTTTTATCTAGCAGGTTGCTTAAAACAGTATTCTTACTTGCCATTTTGTTCTGTACTCCCTCTGTTTCAAAGCATAAGGACCTTTGAGTTTGGCCTAAGTCAAGGTATCCTAAGTTTGACCAAGTTTATAGAAAAGGACAATATTTACGATTCTGGACGAGAATCATTAGGTCCATTATGAAATTTATTTTCATATCTTACTCTTTTGATGTAGTAGATTTTAATACCCTTCTCTATAAATGAGGTAAAACCTAGAATAGTTTGACTTGGCACAAATTCAGAAGTCCTTTTATTTTGGGGATAGATGGAGTAGTTTCTTATGAAGATGCTAAACTCCCAATATATAAACAAGAATAATAATTCGCATTTTACTTTGCCATTGCTAGTTCTATTTAATAGCACTGTCCACTTCACTAATTAGGGTTGGAAGAACTGCAAGAATTGGTGAAAAGGGGGAGGCTCTCCTCTTTCTGCAACCTATTGAACTTGACTACTTGAAAGATCTGGAGCTACACGGTGTATCACTGACAGAGTACCCCTTTCAAAAGGTTTTGGATAGTTTCCCTGTAAATGGGCAGAAACCCCACAAAAGGAAGCTAATATCCTTAGACATGCATCCTTGGATAATGTCTCTGCAGAGATCACTTGAGGCTTTCGTTGCAGCTGAGGTAATGCATATTTTACCTTTTCCTTCCAGTGACTGTTTGGTAAATGACATGTTTCACCTTTCAGTGATGTGAGAACTTGCACATGTGAAATACTTGTGCTGATTATTTGTTATGAATATCGTAAACAATAGTAAACTAAGCTTTAAGCAATGGATATCAGTTAATATGTTCTGGCATTCTTATCCAGGATGCAACAAAGAAGCTTGCCAGGGATGCCTTCTGTTCCTGGGTTCGTGCCTACACTGCCCACCGAGGTGAACTGAAGAAAATTTTCATGGTGAAGAAGCTCCACCTGGGCCATGTAGCGAGGAGCTTCGGGCTAAAGGAGCAGCCGTCGCTGGTCGGAAGGTCACATCAGATGCAGCTTAAGAAGAGGAAGAAAGAGCAGAAGCGTGAGTGGCCTGCCAAGAGGAGGAAGCTCCCCTCTAAGAAGTGAACTTGCACACCCGAAATGCTGCATCGCTTGGCTTTTTGGATCATGATGCGCGACAATTTTGGAACTAACAACCGTGGTGGCCTATGCGTATGGCTGTAAACTCTTTGACATGATTTTTTTTTGTTCGCGAGATTACATGCTTGGATATTGGTCTGAATGTAGGAACTAGCAACAAATGTACAATGTTTGTTGATATGAGATCATCCATCACTATTATTTTAGTATCCACCTGGGTTTTTCTTAAACCTCAAGCCTGCCTTTGCCCCCTTTACAAACAGTTTGTTCAGAAATAATAGTCAGAACCACCAGCCCGATTGTGTTCGCACTTGGATTTAAGGAAACTAATCAGGCAGCCAGGAGCCAGCTGTGCACATTGCTCTACCACAAGTGGTCAATAGACAGACCCTACAGTATCACTGTCACAGTAAACAACTAGACCCCACCCAATCACCGGCAATCTTTGACTTTCATTTTCATATAAGGCTGTGTTTACTTTCCAAAAACTTTCCTAAAAAGTGCTACAGTAGCCATCACGTCGAATCTTGCGGGCACGGAGCATTAAATATAAACGAAAAAAAAAACTAATTGCACAATTTGGTTGGAAATCGTGAGACGAACGTTTTGAGCCTAATTAGTCCATAATTGAACACTAATTGCCAAATAAAAACGAAAGTGCTACAGTAGCTAAATTCCCAAATTTCACGAACTAAACGCAGCCTAAACTACCTATTCACGTTACTGTATGCTTTCCATCGCTATGTGTCTGCCCGTACTGGTACATGATTACTTACAATATCTTCATCAGTATAGAGGAGCAAAGGGGAAAGGTTAGCTGCAATGCTGTGATCAGGTAGGTGACCTGGCTATTCTTCCTGTAGCTCAAAGTCTGCACTCTGCACGGATCAAGCACCAATTAGGCAAATTCCAGGAGCCACATAGTCTGTTGGCGGCTCCAACCTGCCATGTGGGCCGTCACGACTTGAGATCCCACATGTCAGTGACCGCAACCCCTCCCAACCAGACGATCCGCCTTCCCCTCGCCGCGCCTCCACCAGCTACCCCCGTCACGCGAGCTCACGCGCCGGGGGGACGGAAGCACAACCACCTGACCACGCCGACGCCACGCGGCGAGCCTGTCTCTCGTCCGGGGTAGTCCAGTCTCAGCGGGGCCACTTGGAGCAGACAGCATCCGCTCGGTACTGCTGCTGATTTGGTGAGCACGGGGAGCCGCGGGATGGGAGATCTGGTGGCGGCGACGGCGGCTGTAGCGTGATGGTGACCCCGGGCAGTAGCCGGGGCGGCCCGTCGCGCGTAGCGGCGCGGGGCGGCGTTTCCGCCCCCGGGAGCCCGCGCGTCTCTTCTGCCGCGACCACTTTCGCGGCGCTCCGGCGCAGGTGGCGGTGGGCGCCCTCGGGCGCGTCGACGCTGGAGCGCGCGGCCCGCGCGTTCCTCCTGGCCTCCGCGGCGCTCGTGCTCGCCTGCGCGCTGTACCTCTACGTGTTCCGCTACGTCGGCCGGGGAGGTCGCGCTCGCGCCTTCGCCGCCGCGGGCTTCGTCGGGGACGCCGCCGGCCTGGGCCTGGGCCTTGGCGGCGTGGCGTGCGACGTGTTCGACGGCGCCTGGGTGCCCGACGACACCGGCCGCCACCCGCTCTACAACAGCTCCGAGTGCCCGTTCGCGGAGCGCGGGTTCGACTGCCTCGCCAACGGGCGGAACGACACCGGGTACCTCAAGTGGCGATGGAAGCCGCGCCGGTGCGACGTGCCGCGGTTCGCGGCCCGCACCGCGCTGGAGCGGCTGCGCGGGAAGCGGGTGGTGTTCGTGGGGGACTCCATGAGCCGCACGCAGTGGGAATCCTTCATCTGCATGCTCATGGCCGGCGTGGATGACCCCAGGACGGTCTTCGAGGTGAACGGGAACGAGATCACCAAGACGATACGGCACCTGGCGGTCAGGTTCGCGTCTCACGGCCTCACTGTGGAGTTCTTCCGGTCCGTGTTCCTCGTGCAGGAGCATCCTGCCCCGCGGCATGCCCCCAAGAGGGTCAAATCCACATTGAGGCTGGACAGGATGGATAATTTCAGCCGGAAATGGGTGAATTCGGACGTACTGATTTTCAACACTGGGCATTGGTGGACGCCGACCAAATTGTTTGATACGTAAGGTCCCTCGCATTGATTTACTGTGCCTTTAAGTTCTAACTTGAAAATGTGTAGTTGTTTCAGTACTGCCAATGTCTGCTTTGCCATTCACATTTTCTTTTCCTTTTCTTTTTCGGGCGAAACATTCACATTTTCTTAGGATTGAAAACTCTATATTCATGGTTGAATAGGTAGTGTGTATTTCTTCTCCTTTTTTTCAGAAAAAGACATTGAAGGAATATGTGGTGTTGTGTTCACTTCGATGCTTTGGCTGCCGCCCAGTATTTTTAATACCGTGCCTTATTTTAGAAATAGAATCCTAGCTCATATTCTAGTTAGAGGTAGAGTTTGATACATCTTTGATATTGGGGAGTGATGCATCTCTCTATTTCACATAGGTACCAATAATGTAGCAGAAACTCAGGGGTCGGGGTGGGGGGCTACAAATCAAGGGAAAAATGCGAGTGCCTTGCGGATCTTTTGCTATACCAACTTTTTTCTTACTCCATCCCAAATTGTAAGACGTTTGACTTTTTTGCCCCCAAGTTTGACCACTCGTCTTATTCAAAAAATTTGTGCAAATATAGTCAAATTTAAGTCATTCTTGAAGAATTTTTATTAATAAACCAAACCACGACGAAAGAAGTGATATTTTACACAAATTTTTGAATAAGACGAGTGGTCAAACTTGGTGTCAAAAAAGTCAAACGTCTTACAATTTGGGATGGATTGAGTAGTACCTAGTAAAATCATATGTATTGAATCATATTTGCTTTTGATGACGCTTACCAATAGGTACAGTCTTACAGGATCACATTCTTGAAATGTCAATGTTAAAGTTGCCGACTTGGCGATTTCATCTGCCGGATGATATGCGCCTTCCATTCAACATCTTTTCCATTTGTTTCTAGGGAATACTGTGTTCATATCATTTTTGCCATCTTCAGATTTTAACATAGCATCACTGTGTTGCTTTTAACATAGCCTTTTTATCTTCATATTCTCTGCATCTAAGTGGTGTGCACTAATGTAACTGAAACACAAGTTTAATAGTTTTTCTTATTACCTGGTCTTCCGAACAGGGGTTGCTATTTTCAGGCCGGGCGTTCTCTTAAATTAGGTACATCCATCGATGCTGGTTTCAGGATGGCACTGGAGACCTGGGCCTCATGGGTACAAAAAGTGTTGATTTAAACCCAAACACATGTCTTCTTTCGCACATATGAGCCATCTCATTGGGGGTAAGTTTTATAAAAAAAATCACTCTGAAAGATTATTATGGTTGTCAGGCATTTGAATCTCATGGGAGAAAACTTGTAAAGGTGTTAATTAGATTCTTAAAGATTGTCGTCATCCACATACCTTGATATAATTTTCAGCCCTGTTAGATGATATACTGATATGCCTTTACTTAAATCATAGGTAGATTGATAATGGCGCTAGATAATTGGGCCAATTTAATTATAGTGATATCTTTTAGAAAAAAAAATGGTCAAGATCCCTGTCCATTTTGACTGCATGTAACATCTATAATCAATCCATTGCACGTGCAATGTGAATATAGATCTAATTGTTCTAGCTCCACCAAGCCATACATAATGGATTTATATGCCTCCCACATTCTGGTTGATTCATGAGTTGTAAACTGCTTCATGTAAATAAACTACTAAATCGTCTTACTCATAGCTAATATTAGCTAGCAAACTATTAGCTGCTATTAGATGGTTTGGTCCAACTAGTGAGATAGTTGTTATAGTTGGTATTCAGCTAACAATTAGTTGGATCTGTTTGAATCCAAAGAAGCTAATTATTAGCAGCTAGAGCTAACTATTAGTTCTATGGATCCAAACAGGGCCTTAGTTCATATGGAAACTTTATCTCACTGCACCTCTTCATTTGATTTGATATTTTCATTGTTTCTCTATACAAATACACTTTTTTCTGTCCCTAAAAAATATGATATGGTCTAACTGACATGACCATGATTATACCACAAAAAAATGTCAATGTTGCAAGAAATTTTGCAGTATCAATTCTTTTCTTGATTGGCTCTGCTGTAGCTATTCTGTAACAACTGACAGGAGCTCTCTTCCCATTTCATAGGGACACAAGCCAAAAGGTGTGTGAGGTAACAGAGCTGCCTTCATCAGAGGCCAAAGGAAATGATAAGAGTGAATTTGGGGCTATACTTGCTGATGTTGTAACCAACATGAAAGTTCCTATCACAGTACTGAATGTAACTTTAATGGGAGCGTTTCGAAGTGATGCACATGTTGGCACTTGGAGTTATCCTCCGACTATACTTGATTGCAGCCACTGGTGTCTTCCTGGAGTCCCCGATGCTTGGAACGAACTCGTGTTTTCGTACCTTTTGACAAATGGTGAGTTCTTAGTTCTGCTAATGTCTATCTTCATTTCTGTGAATCCTGTGGGTAATGTATATCAGTTAGACAAAATTTTGACATAGGAGTAAAATTTTGCTTTCTTGCAAGGTAAAGTGTTGTTCCACTGCAGCTATAGTATTATGAATTTCTAGGACTTTTATATACAATACACTTTTTATCTCTGCCGAACCATGGCCCATGGAATGTCATGCATAGCATGAAAAGCGAGATTTTCCCATCATAAATAGTGAGATTCAATGTTACTTGAAGTGGCATTCGAGGCTGCACTGAGAAGTTAATTTAGGCTATGTTAGTTGATCCCTGACAACTTTTAGTATAGCGGTCATCTGTAAAGATTAAGCAGCTATTTACTGATGCTACTTTGGAAGGCCTCAAGTTATCTTCCAAAAATTGCCACTCCATTGTATATTACCTTACCATCTATTACTCATGTGTGTGCAGTGAGCTAGTTATAGTTCTGTACCTATCTGTTAGTATTTGGTGTGCCTTTAGTTGCTTCAAGTGTTATGAACAAGTTTGTCATTAAGATTAAAGTTAACCTGTTTTCATTGTATTTGGATAGTCACCTGAACCCATTTTTCCCATCTGAATTGCACAGGTTGGCGAAACATGGCAGGCTGAATTTTATGGCCGCATGCTCAATCTACCCTTGTATTGTGATATTTGACATTACCAGGTATACTAGAGAATTAACATACGTCCGGGACAAGGCAGCTGCATCTGCTAGGTGGTTCACTGGACTTCTACATTCTTTTCTTCTTTTTGACTTGTATACAAGGTGAAGCATGCATCGAAAGTTGTAGATTTTACATCTCTTTAATTCTTCTGGTTGGTAAGGATTAGAAAGCCGTGACAGTCGTTCTGTCAGCTCTATTTACTAACGGTTCATTTTATATGTTGTTAAAAATCAAGTTTGTATTGTAACCTGTATGTACAAACCTGTATTATACTTGATACATTGTCAGAAAGTGCCCTCTCTCAATTGGATTGGCAAGTTTTGAATGTGTAGCACCGCCTCCACATTGCATTGTTTTGTTTCTGTACTGTCAGTATGCGTTGTGCTATACAAGTCTGTCGGCATACACTGTAAGAGTAAGACTAGTCATATGTTCCATGCACTAACCAATTATTAATTGGCGCCCTGTACACAATCATTTCTCACACACACATAATTTCAGCAGGGAGCTTTACATGTACCTGAAACTTATTTCAGCAGCCAAGAGCCAACCCAAAAGAATTGTTAGCCGTCGAGGCAGGCCGGCAGCGACATAGAGCTGCAGCCATGACAGCAACAGGGAGTGATGTATTTTGTATAGCGAAGACCTAAGCATAGCTACCTATACAAGCTATTGCTATGCATGTATATATGGTTGCCATATGGGGTGTTTGTATATCTGCATATCATGACCTTGCCAAGCTCGCCGTTGTCACTGCCATGGGGATGCTCTTCGTCCTGTTATTGTTCTCGCCCCAATGCCAGAGCATGCTCTCCCAGAAGCAGAACTTCTCAAAGCATGTCTTCAGCCTGGTGTCCGTGATGTTGCGGCGCCAATGGCCATCTTCAGAATTGGCCTTCTCGGCCTGCCTCCGTCCCACTCCAGGCTGGCCTTCTGCCGTGACCTCAGCAGACAGTAGGACTGGAGCTTCCTGGGCATCTTGTCATGCACCTTCCACCACCGGGCATGTGCAACATCGCTCGCAAATTCGCGCATTCCAGCGTTGTTCCAGTTGCAGTCATAGTCTTTGAAGCACAGCCATGGCTTCAGGCCAAGGTAGTGGAGAACATAGAGGATTGGTGGGTCTGCGCCAAACAGCTGAGTCTTCTTCGCCTTCATGGCCTGGCTGTCGCCCTCCCAGAAGTGCTTCAGAAAGTTCATGTGCTTCGGGATGCGGTGCCACCACGTGAATATCTCATTCAGGTATCCCTGGTCCCCCGCCGTTGTATGAAGTTATCTCGTTGATGTGGTCCATCAGCAGCTGGAATGTGCAGTTGGAAGGCTCTATGACCATGACACCAGAGTTGAAGAGTGTTGCGTTGTTGCCAGTTGCAGTGATCTCTGGCATGGCGAACAGGAAGTCAACATTCCTCAGGATGAGGAGGTCAGCATCTATGAAGATGATCTTGTCATAGTCAGTCAGCTGCCACAGCCTGAACTTGCTGTAGTTCCACTCGTTGTATGCATCACGCTCCGCTTTTGGGTTCCTGATTCTTTGGATTATTCTGACCTTCCACCCTGCAGCTTCCAAGCCTCTCCGGTGGTGATCGCTTATGGTCTCATCAACAAGGATGACTAGGTCCCTGGTTGATCCTGCTTGGCGAATGCTTTGAGCTGCTGTAATAGCACCGCAGACGTATTCACTCGCTGAATGCAGTATTGTTGCATATGCTTCTCTTCGTCGATCTACTGAGAAAAGTCTCGCTGCAGCAGTAAGAATAGAGTCATTTGCTGGAAATTTATACTTTATCAGACAAATGAGTAAAAACAGGCACACACTTCATGCATGTTACCATAAAAAGTACTACTGTGTGAAGTACTAGAGAGAAAGGAAATATTTTTTTTTTGTACTGAGTGTGCTGACGCTTAGTAAATATGCAACTTACATTTTGCTTTGAGTGGAACAGCAAGCTCACAGGATCCGACTGGAAGCCTGAGCTTTTCCCTTAATGCTTTCGAGTCAGGACTATATAACCAAGCATTGCCTTCATGTCTCACAAGGTTCTTGCAAGGGAAGAGATTCGGGATTGGAAAGCAGTCAGTTACAAAAAGAACATGGACCTTGTGGTTGCGCTTTGAGGATGTCACAGCCAATTTTGCTGCTGAGAGCTGCAAATGAAGCCGTGCAACATCTCTTGACCAACCTGCCACACGGGTACAAGGAAGCTTTACAGCAATGACATCAAAGCGTACACCTCTTCGTACATTAGGTTCTGGAAGTGATGGGCAAGAGGGTATCTCTGTTTCTTCCTCCTCATCGATCCATTCAGGATACAGTGTTTGCCAAGTAATGCTGTCCTTGGCATGCTCAAGTCTTATAATGGAAACATGGCTGTCTGAGAGCAATTGTGTCCAAGAGCCATACTCAGTGCTATTAAAATTCAAGAGTCCAACTTTGAGATTTTGATTACCGCTTCTTAGATTTCCCAGTGCTTTATATACATCCTCCCACCGAACATCAACAGAAGATACATATCGTGGATCAGAACTTGTTTTGTCCCACATCCAACCGACATCCACATACCTGCAAAGCATATAAACTCACATGAGCCGATATTTATAGCTTTAGAGGCATCGTCATTTTTTACCGCATCACAAATATTTCAACAAGACGTGATTACCGGGAGGCTGACTGCAATTGGTGCTCGTATAAGGTTGGAGTCACAAGGGTAAGAACTGTCGCAGAAATGATAGCTACGATCAAGATCCTCAAAGATTTGAACTTGCAACCACAGCTCTTTTCAAGGACAAGAACTTCATAATCTTCGACATCTTTGAAACTTTTGCTTTTGGAGGCCCTTCTCTTAGTTGTGTCCTCACTGTAAAAGGTAGAATCGAACTTAGTCATGCAAAACAGTAACTACTTTACCAGATAAGATCAGCCATCAAACTACCATGCTGGACACGTGGAGTTCAGAAAAGATTTCAAAAGAGACAATGCCAATGGAAATAGATACTAGACACTGATTCCACAAGATGACAAGAAGATAGATTCTGAAGTTCCTTCTTGAGCACAAAGGTATATGTCATTTTCTTCCTTTTCACTTTGATGCGCCTTATAATCACAGAGAGGTAAAAGCATGATCACTTGAAAGTTGAAAGCGAAATCCAATATGTATAGGCAAGGTAAAATGGCTTGATAACCTAATTTGTATAGGATAATAACTAGAAAGTCAAAAGCATGATCACTTATGCTTTTACTAAAAAATTCAGCAGCGCAAAAGGAAATTTTTGTAATAAATTTTTTTCATAAAGTTGCTGCTAAAAACAACTGCAAAAAGTATTGAACGCAACATCTGCAACTAGTAAAGAGCAACACATTTAGGTCCTTCATGATTAGGTCAGAAGATAGACTAGATAACATTTTCATGTACAGCAGGATAGCGGTATAGGAAGTGCTATGATATCATCCTTTGAGTTTGCCTTAGTCCAAATAAGTGGAATGCTGATAGGCCCGCAAAACCGCTTTATGGTCAGAAATACATAACAATGACAAATGAAAGCACCCAAAGCACACCCTTTTAAAAAGGAAGAAATGCAGTATATCCGATAGTTGGATGTGAGAATGAGCCACACCAAAAGATGTTTGCCAATCGAAGTAGGAAGTGTAAAGTAGCTAAAAGTTTCTAAGCACTGAGGAAAATTCAGAGAAGAAAATCGCATGGACTTGTATTCCACAACCTTGCTGCTCCATTTCATCAGCCACAATTTTAAGGAACACAGAGCATCAGAACATGTTAATCACAAAGGTGGCTTTGCACCTAACTCGCCCTGGACCGATTCTCCAAAATCAGAAGCATGATTAGCTGTTCGATACCGTTGTGATCACGAAACGGGAAAAGTTCAGAGTAACTGCTGCTGCTAGCACTACCGTGCAGATAACCGGATGACTCCACGTCTTGTGCACGTCACGCGTGGCCGTATATGCCCACTGCCAAACGCCGAAGTCCAGCGCCACACAAGTCAGCCTCACCTCAGATAATCAGAGGACCGACGGCCGACCAGGTTAAGGCGAGCGGCGAAAACGAGAACACGATCCAGTGGAGACGGACCCGTCCGGGATTGGAATTCGATGGCTTGGTGACTAAGGTGAGATAGCGTTCCACAGGACAGGGACGACGGGGTCAACAATGGTCAGTACTCAGTACTCACTAGTGCGGAGGACAGAGGGAGACCACCAGGCGAACTAAGCAGGCTGCTAATGATCACGCCATCACGGGAATATTGAGTGCTACTAATCAGCAATCAATGGAGGATTGGATGCGGGCACAACAGGGGAGATTTCTTGCGGTTAATGCGATGAGGATGCAACGAGCGAGGCGTAACCACCAACCACTGCGGCGCCAGCCAGCAATTAAGAGGACGGAGAGACGGAACGACGTGTCACCGGCTCACCGCGCTCGCTGTCGTCGTCGTCTTCCTCCGGCTGGTCGGGTCGAGAAGGATCGACGATCTAATGCGGCATGCAGTGCCCACCTGTGCGGCGCGGTGCGGCGTTGAAGAAGAAAGAAAGAAAGAAAGGAAAAGAAGCAGCTTTGGTTGGGATTGTGAGAGGAGAGCGAGGGAGGAGGAGATCTTACGGGGCGCCGGCTGGACGGTAGCGCGGCTCCAATGGGCCCATCGGTGCTTGTTGCGCCGCCGCTCACGCTTCTCTTTCCTAACTCTCCTGATGAGAAGGAAGGCAGGCAGTCACCGCCTATCGCCGCCTCGGCCACCGCCGCCGCCGCACCTGAAAAAAAATTGCGACACGAAGCGCATGGCGAAATGTCATGTAAAACATGCAGGCCAACGGAACCAACAAAACAGCCCTAGTGGCTTTAGCCATAGCAAAGATACAGTATTAACGAGAAAAGATGGAAAATTGATGCGAGCATTATTTCTTCAAAGAAAATACTCCTAGCACAACTGTACAAGGCAAAGAAAAGGAAGTGAGAGCATTAACGTCGCACACCATGATGAACACACGCAGAACGCGGAGCAGGGGAGCAGAGGAAGGAAAGAAAAAAGCAAGGGAACCTCAGAGTTGGAGACCCAACACCCAACGCAGACATGGCTCTGACACAGGCCTGCCCAGCCCAGCATCGGGAACCCCAACAAAACAATAAACAAACCGATTCTACTGTGAATCCGCAGCAAAAATAAACCAAAATTTGAAAGTAACAAGTGACAGGAAAAGGTGAGCGGGAACGAGGATCAATCAAATGCCTTGTGCCAGCAATGGAGCATAGCAGAGGCCTCTCTCGAGAGCCAACAACTCGAAACCAAATCGAAATCAGAAGGCCAAGAACAAGCGGTGATCGAATAGCCAGAAACAAAGCGGAGAAGGGCAGTGGTGTACCTCGCACCGAAGGAAGCCTTGTGAATCCACGAGAGGAAGGAGGAGGAAGGCGTGGTTGCTGCTGCCTGGCTTGCTGCTTTCCTAGCACTCGATTTCTCTATCTACTAGAAGAAGAACTCGGCGTGCGAGCTCAGGAGGGGAGAAGCTTTATATGTGAAGATAGAATACGGAGTAGAAGAGTAAGATGAATCATCATCGTGAAACACCACAGGTACGCCGACGCGGGGGTGCGGGAAGCCCGCGAGGCGCGGCAATGGTGATGGGTTTTCTCGGCTTTCTGCCGATTATTAGGCGGGCGTACTGGTGGCCTGTACCACAGGTCAAGGCCTAATCTTCACGGCCGGGGCCATGCGCTATCTGGGAATTGGTGGTGGACATGCATTAGCTTTCGTGAGAAATTTGCCTTGGTAGATAAATGTTCGGCAGGAAAAAAAAAGCATCCAAAATTTTCCTCGGTGCAAACTGCGGATATATTTCAAGTGATCCTAGAGGAGCTTAATGTTAAAAAAAAAGTATGGTTTTGTCAGTGGAGCGTTTGCACTCTAAGGGCGTGTTGTCGTTTAGAATTGTTGGTGGACACGCTTTGAACATGAACGGCTATGATCGATTTATGCATGCATAATAAAGTGTAAGAAACTTTCCTAAAAAAAGATAATCTCGAAATTCATATATATTGTTTTGTTCAATATATTCAATGGCATTTTAAAGTAATTACCACATGAGACATGATGCGGTAGAAATTATTCTATATGTGGGAACCGAGACTGGACACTGGGGGACATGCCTTAAGAAGCATTTAAAAGATGGAAGAATTTTCCAACAGAGCGTGTTTGGATCATCACAGGCGCCACAAGCATCTGAAATTGGACTTCTGGTGACACCGGCTCAGACACCGCCTCTCCCACACGTATAATCATACAAACCCTCAGAACGTCAACTATTACTGGCCGGAGAAAATACCTTTTTTTTCTTCAAAATTCAATAGATGTTTTATCTAGTAAAAAAACAAGATAGAGATCGCTCGTCGCTTCTGTAGCCAGGGACCAAATCCAGGCGGTGTCTCTAATTAGCCACCTTCCTAATTAGCCTTAACTAGACCTGCAATTTAGCAGCTTTTCTTCTTCTTCCTTTTCTACTGATCTTCTGTCTTGCTCTTACCTTCTCCCTTGCTTCTTTTTCTCTGCTTTAACAATTTTTTGTTCAACTACCATTCCTAATTGCATGCTTTAACAAAATAACAAATTAGCTGGTACCAAACTTATTCAAAAGATGTTATATAGCGAAAAATATACTCCCTCCATCCAGAAACGAATTCAATTCTTACTTTTCGATAAGTCAAACATTTTAAACTTTGATTAAAGTTATATAAAAAAATACTAATTTCATGATACAAAATAAGTATTATTAAATTAGTTATATAATATATTTTCAAAATAAATTTATTTAGAGACATAAATGCTACTATCATTTATTATAAACTTTGTCAAAGTTGAGCTGGTTTGACTGGCCCGGAGCCCATAGTTGTATTATTTCGTGAACGGAGGGATTATGTGCATAAGTTATGTTGGTAAGAGCTATTGTAAAAAAATCTGGAAAGGTTACGCTAAGAGATTTTTCGGGTAAAAGTGATTTACAAAAATTGTGCTAACAAAAATTTCCTTAAGAATAGCAAAAACATACGTATGTGTATAAGTAATTGCCAGCGATTGCTCGGTAATTAGCGTAGCTGTCCGGTTACTTTTTCTTTGCATGAAAGGTTTCTAAACATAGCAAAATACTTCGCTACCCGCAGTAAATGTGCTCGAAGCACTTGCTTGCATGTTGCATCTTTGGTTGCTGACTTTCTACGGCTTTACTTACTCCTACCAGAGGAGGATTAGACAGAGGAAGAAGATCAACGGCACACAGCATCGCAAGGGGCTTACTATTACTAGTTACTAGCGAGTAGCGACTATGCGAAGATAGGCAGGGTAGACTGTAGAGCGAGTGGGGACTAGGAAGTACATAGTACGAGCAGTTAAAATGAGGGAGAAATTAAAAGCAAGGATCTATATAGTTGGTGATACATATATATTGTTGTTTTGGGGAGAGATGAGACGATCACACGAGCTCATATGTGCGCCTTGCCTTTTATCATTGTTGTATGTATGGGCTACAGAATTGAAATGTGCAGAGCTCGGGTGGAAGCACAGCGAGGAGCCGCCTCGCCCACGCGACGCCTTGAGAAATCCGCTGCTAACATAACATGGACGACGCGGTCACGCAGGCTATTTGTTTTGAGTAAATGTGCTCGAGGGCTCGTTCGTTCCCCCTCTCGTGCCGATCCTGTGGTAGCACCACGCCACCACCTCATGCCCTCATGTTTCTCTTCTTAAGCTGGGTATATCCAGATGTGTCCTGGCCTCCTTGATTGGTCTGTCGGCATCAGAATAGCAAATCGCGGTTTTGGGAATCAGACTTGTTTTGTGCATTTTACTCGTACGCACTGTTTCATATATTCTCAGTTCAGTGCGTACATGTTCAACAGTAAGGTTTCAGAGTTTACAACGATATTATTCAAGTCCAAGTCCAAAGAAAATATTTGAAAGCTAGGAAGATGAGCGTCGAGGGCGCGGAACAGTGATGTACCGTACTGGGTAAAAGTCCTCATCGAGAGCAATTTATGTGTATATTTTATAATTTCTTCTTGATTTAAAACTATCATAGTTACTCACAGGTTGGTCATCACAAACGTAAATTTATAGATGTTTCGCTTCCTCATCACTTACATCTTTATTCTTGAGTCGTCACTAATTTGCTGTTCTGTCGTGGTGGTGCTTTTTTAAAATTACTATTTTGAACAAATATATTTGAAAACTGAAAAGCAGAATCACAAAATAGTTTCGCCACAAGTCTAATACATCGCGACATGCCTTTTGGACGCCTATGCTTGCTATTCGCCTAGCGATACGAATCCGTCGATTTGATGTTGTAAAAGACGTTGGGCCTTGTTTAGATGCACACCAAATTCCAAGTTTTTTCACTCTCTCTCCATTACATCAATTTTTAACCGTTTGCATGGAGTATTAAATGTAGGTAAAAAAATAACTAATTACACAGTTTAGTTGGAAATCACGAGATGGTCTACGATTGGACAATATTTGCCAAATAAGACAAAAGTGGTACTATTCATCGGGTTGCAAAAATTTGCAAAGAGAACAAGGCCTTGGTCTTTTTCGCGACAAATACTAGCAGGCAGCCCAGTGTACTAGCCTACTAGGCTTACTGCGACGGTATTGAAAGCAACATCTCCACTCACTAGCATTAACAACTTCATCACACCGCGCTATCCAAGACTTCGGTAAAGGATAATAAAACTAAATAAGATTATTAGATTCGTCATAAAATATATTTTCATAGTATATCTGTTTATAGGATCATGAATGTTAACATCATTTTCTATGAAATTTAGTTAAATTTATGATAGCTTGGCTTTGATCAGACCTAAAGTTAATTGTCTCCTTTTTTTTTAAACGCAGCTGGTACCTAGCAATCAAGTGCATTTTGTACGTGCGCGTAAGAACAAAAAGTGGCGATGCACCGTCCATGACATATGTTGGATTTTTAATTATTCAGCTTTGTGTCATTTCATATAGTTGTAGGTTTTAGCCACCCCATCTCTCAGGCTTCTACTGCCTTTCAGATGAAAAGGCCGAATGTTAACTAGCGTCGCTCACCACTTAATTATTGAGATGATTTTTTTCTATGTTATCCAAGGATGGCAGCCATTTTTATCCCATTATCTAACCTTTAATTAAGAAGCAATACCTTTAACAGGTGTCAAGCCGAGAGAAAACTGATATAAGCAGAAGCATATGGCATGAACACAAGAGTAAAGCCCCCTGTGCAACTTAAAAATATACTATAGGATGTGCATGATAGTGATCTGCAATATAATGTCTCATAAAAGGGCACTGTGTACCTATCTTTCCCCATTCTTTCGAGATCGCGCACGTCATCATGGAAGGTGGATAGTTCCACTCACGCCATGAATGTGTGCTAACTGCCCGAGCCCGTTTCCTGTCCGGAAATGTTAATCTGACAGAGACTTGGGATGGAATTGGGGTCTAATAATAGTTTTCGCCCCCTAATACAGGAAAGCCTCGTGGTCCTTTGTGTTGACCTGGACGCTGATTCCAATCCCCTTCGAATAACTAATTCGAAAGACACGCTTACTAATTCCATACTACTCTAAAAGTATATATATTACTAAAAAATTACTTTTTGAATTAGGGCCTATCAAT